AAACATCTGGCGTTTTGGGAGACTTGTCTGCACCTGGCTGATGGCGGCCTGGAAATTCTGCTTCCTGGACTCGGGGTGTGTGTGTGTGTGTGTGTGTGTGAGTTCAGTTCCCAGGGCTTCTTTTAAGAGAAATGAACGTCCACTCCCAGAATCCCCCAGCCAGCCTGCTTTAAGAGGGGTGGACCTCCACTCCCAGAATCCCCCAGCCAGCCTGCTTTAAGATAGCTGGATTTCAGCTCCCATGTTTGGCTGGGGAATTCTGGGAGTTAACTCCACCCATCTTGAAACTGCCACCCTTGAGAAACCTTTATCTACCCTCAGTCAATCATCTGAGTAGCCCTCCGTCCGTCAGTTCAATTCTGCCTTACCAAAGCGTTGACTTCAGCTCCCAGAATTCCCCACAGCGCTGTTCTCGCTGGGAATTCTGGGAGTCCACTCATCCAGAAGGGGACCCCGAGAGGGAAAAATGGGCTTGTTGGAATCAATGACCCCCTGTAGGAAAAGACTTGGCTGGATTTCCCTTCCGCTGATCGCTTTTTCTTGCCCTCCCGCAGGAACTGAGCGAGATTATGTACACGGATCGTCCAGACTGGCAAAGTGTGATGCAATATGTGGCCCAGATCTACAAATACTTTGAAACTTGAGGAAGAGGAGGAGAAGAAGAGGAGGAGGAGGAGGAGGAGGAAGGAGAAGAAGGGGAAGAGAAGTACGAGCCACTGAAAAAACACCGCCGAAGTCGCACACAATCACTTTAAACGATCCCCTTTTTCGGTTGATTCCCGCACGGCAAAGGACGGCTCCTGCCAGATGCCACGGCGTGTGAGGTGGCAGAGTGGGTCCCTTCTTGGCTGCAAACTTTTACAAGGGCCACGTGCCCGACCGTGCCAAAAAAAAGATACTCCAAGCCAAGAGCCCAACTATGACTCACAAGGACTGTGCACCTCACCTGGCGTAAAAATAATTCTAGCGCATTTTTTCCCCCCACTAAACCAAGGTGTCCCGGTGGGTCTCTCCCAGCTGGGCCCCGTCCTCATTTAAAAAAAAGAAAAGAAAACGAACAGCCCCAGAAGCTGGGAACTCTGCAGAAGCACAGGAACACCCTTGCCAGCCGCACGAAAAGCATCTGCCTGAAAGTCTCAAACGCCACCAGCCACATCTGGATCGGAACCGGATCTCATGAACTGCTCGGAGGAGGGTCTGTTTTCAGAGGATTGCCCCAATCTGGATTAACCTCTGTGCAGTTGCATCTTTCCCTTGGGGGAGGGGGGGCTGTGAAAGTGGCAGGAGGGGGTGTCCAACCTAGGCAACGAGGGATCACGTGGCGTCCCTTCCCAAGTGCGACACGAACGGGCAGCCGTTCTCAAATTCTCCTTTTCGTGCAATTGTTGAGTGGACGGAGGGCCCCCCTGAAAACGGGGTTTGTAGACCCCCTCAAGAAACAGGAAGAATGTGGGGGGGGAGAAGAGGGGCCAGGCTCAACAAACCCTAGAGTTGCCATGTTTTTTTTTCACCAGCCAGCGCTCCTCCGCGGTTTGTTGTTGCGTTCTGCCAGACCGAAATTCATTCAGCAGAGTTTGTCCTCTGCAAGCCGCTGATGAAGAGATGGGCAAACGCAGCGTGCAATTGGTAAAAAAAGCACAGGAGCAAATTCAAAAAAGTCGGCGACTCCTCAATTCGGGATCTCTCCAAATTAGGGACCCGATGCCTTCTTTCTGACAAGGATAGCAGCAGTCCTGGGCGAGTCTTCGGCACGATTAACAAGAGTCCGGTTGATTTACGACAGTGTCCGGCTGAGTACGCTGCCGCTGTCTGGAGTGATTGAGAACGTCGGAGTCAGTTAAGGGACCCTCTGCCACTTTTCAGCGCCCTTTAAGGACGGTTTTGCAACATCATCGGGACAGGAGCGTAAATTCGAGCCCAGGCAGACGGCGCCGGCATGGCGACCGCCACCAGCGTCTCCGAACGGGTGGGACACTGAAAGAGCTCGTCCAATGTTGTCAACAGTAGTACGTGGGCTGTGTGACGTTGCCCGAAGGCAAACACGTAGGGTGTCACCGGGTTTCGGGATCCCCGTTGAGTAAAAAAGATGGCGGGAGCTTGAGATGTAGACAGGCGGAACGCTCTGGGAACTCCTGGTACCCACTGGGAATGAGGTGGTCATGTTGTGAGCAAACACTAATGGGAGTTCCTTCCTGCCGTGCTACTGGGATAATTTGCGGGACGGGGACGCAAGCGAGGGAACTTGGCAAGCCAGCAAGGGGGTCTCAGTGAGGTCTTGTGGTCTCACACACACATACACGCATCTCTGTTGTTAAAGGGGAAACCATTGTTGTTTGGAAGATCTGCTCTGCCCACTCATTGGTGTCCCGTTGTCTACATGAGCTCAGTACTGGGTCCCTCCTTTGTCCCGGATGTTGACGAGGTGGAAAGAATCGGAGGACGGGCATGGCTGAGTTCCTCGGGATACACTCGGGGAAAATTGGTTGTGTGAAACCAGAGGAGGCGAATCCCATGGGGGTCTCTGGATCGCCACCATCTTCCCGGTAACAAACGGTGCGCGTTGGAAATCACGCGCAGCAGATTCCCACGGTCGAGAAGGTTAGCTTTGCGCGGCGGCGAAGTGCTCCAGGACAATGGGTGACGCAGGGGTGGGGTGGACGCAGGAGTCAGTGCCAGGAGGAGTATGACCCCCTCTCCCAACCTTGAAGGGGGAGGGGTCTTGTGCAGGGGTGTGACCCCCCTCCCAACCTTGGAGGGGGAGGGGTCTTGTGCAGGGGGGAGGAGTTCCAGGCACAGGAGAGGTGGAAGATGCAAGAGAGAAAGTGGTTAAAGTCGAGAAGGTTCGAGGTTGACTGTGGTTGTAAAGGGCAAGTTGGCGTCTCTGGGAAAGGTCAGAGGTCGGGGGGAGAAGGCGGGGGGACAGAGTAGCCATCCAGAGCGAAGCAAAAGTGCCACTTACGGGAATTTGCACGTGCCTTAAGGAAAGTGGAGCGTGGCCATGCCGGAACGGGTATCCGGTTGGGGAAAAGTAGTGCCAGAAGGTACAGGGACCGTGCTCGTTTTTTCCGGTTGAGTTTCCCTCTTTTCTCCAGAGGAACCTTAGAACTGCAAGGGTCCTCCAAAGTAATCTAGTCCACCCCTCAACGCCCAAATCATCCGGCCTCGGTTTGAAGATCTCTAAGGAAGGGTCTTCGCTGGCCACCTCAGGAAGGCCTATTTTTTCTTCCGCATGGACATCTTCACGATCGAGGCCGGGCTCTCCCTGCTCCCACCTCTTGAGGACTAGAAGGTTAAGAGAATGTTTTAAGAAAAGTACAGGATTCACTTCCCCAGGGCTGGGCTAAGCTGCCTCTCTGGGACACACCTGCCCTCCAGATTGATGGGGGGGGGGTGTCACCTTCCTGCAGAAGGGCTCGTCTTTTTTTGAACATGCCAGAAAACCGGAGAACGTTGGTTCTTCCAAGCCGACGGCAAGAGAAGCCGTGATTAGTTTCCAGATTTGCAAACCAGTTAAAGAATCTGCTTAGTCCTAGGAGAGCTGCCCCCTCTTTCTCCTGGGTCACTACATTGATTTCTTATTTCATTTATTCGAATTTGATAGCGTCCCCTCAGAAGGTCTCCGGGCGGCTGTAAGAATAAATAGTTAATTTTGTCTATTCACAACTACCTCCTTCCCAGCCCAGGCGTAGGGTACTCTGTGTGTCTTTGCAAAACCTGCTTCAGGGATTGCGTGTCGGCGTTTTGCACACCCGGATCCGGAAGTGCATGTTGTTAGGGTAAAATTAGGAGATGCTCACTGCTCACAATGCATTGGGGCACCCACAGAGACCCCCCCCAAAAAAGACAAGATGGCAGCCAGGACTTACAATCCCAGCCCTGCGGCGCAGTACGAAAAGGGGCGGGGCTCCAACTGCAGGATTGTGGCAGCCATTTTGACTCTTTTGACCCAAATGGCAGACGTCCCTGAATTCAACAACAGGCCTCTCCGTCCTCTGATGGTTCACCAGCTCTATCCCTTGTCTGTACGGTTCTCATCAGGAGCTGGCAGGGTGTGGTCAA